ACGACACCAAGTGACGTTGGACGCCGATGGTGTTGGACGCCATGTCCGATCCGAGTGAGCCAAGTGACGAGAAGCTGATTGAGATTCAGGTCGGCCCCAGATCCGATACGCTCGGTTACGGAAAGAGGAACAGGGTGGGCCCAAACCAATGTAGATGTCTTGTATACAAGGGTATGCTAGGCTACTTATGGTTGCCGTTAGGCGGGGAGGGATGTTATAGTCCCAGCTTGTCTATAAACTGTACTTATTCCCATCAACAGTGGTTCTGCCCCAAGAAGGTTCATGTTTCCTTAACCTCCTACTTTGCTCGCACGTTTGCTGGTTCCTGAAAAAGAAGGGGTAGACAACTCCATTTAAATTGCTGGAGCAGAAAAAGATGTGAACTCCTGAATCGTGCGGCAGAAGAACGTGAAGCACTCTCCCTCTCGGCCCTTACTGTAGTAGAAAGACCAAAAAACAATTTTGCACTGGTCTCAGCAAGTTTACGTGATATGTTTTGGGTGCCGGTGCCCAGACGCTCTGAGATCATCCATGCGTCAGGGCTATGGGGTCGGTTTTGAGGTCTCCAATCAGGTCCTTGGAGATTCTGACTGAAATATGTTCTCTAAAATCCTGAGACCACCCTAACCTGTAAATATAGGTACCAACCCTTAAGTATCCAGTACCTATGGAGTCCCTGTGGACAGGACTCTTCCCGTCGAACTTCAGGTCTGTGGTCTCCGCGGCGACGAGCTGCTCCTGTCGGTGCCCGGGTCCCTCATGGGCCACCAATTCCGCTCGTTGCTCCGCGAGCGGCTCGGGAACTCCCGCGGGACGACCGGCGGGTCCCGCGTTGCGGTGCTGCATGGAGCGGAGATGATGGTGATGAAGAAGACTTTGAAGGAACAAGGCGAGAGAATTTGGAGGTGAGGTAAGTGGGTTCCTATATAATTTAGTGCCTATATGTGGCTACTGGTCGGAGAGGTCGAGTATATAAACACATTAAATAGCAGCTATTAAGTAGAACGAACTTAGTGTATTGACGTGAGTCATAGGGATCTATATGGGGTTCATGATGGATTTGGGGTGCGACTCATCTCTTTTGCAGCAGATCTTTCGAGGTATATGATTTCTTTTTTGAGCCCATATTGAGATGTCTCAAATGTCCTTGTGTTTAGATTTTGGTTTTGGTGCGCAACAAGTGCGCTTGGTATTGCCCAGCAAGTTGACAGAAGGACTACCTTCGAAGTGACATGACTTGTTTGCACCACCTTTCAGACACAAGGAGTTCTTGCGATACCTTAGCTTTTGTTCGCCTGCGATACCGTGGTGCCCTAGTTGTGCCTTTTCTTTCACTGTAGCATGCCTCACGTCATCAGTAGCGTTCTCTCCCAAGAATAAGATAAGCTCTCCAAATAGATCACGAAAGGTAGCCCTTTAGGGGATACCTTGAGTTTGTCTTGCGAAGCAAGTGTTGGGACGTCCGGGTCTAATAATTGATCGCTCAATTCAGACCCCCCCCCCCTCTAGAATCAATTCTCTCCTGGAGAACGTCTTCGTGAGCCTCTCATGATTTCAGGATAGTTGAAACCCTCTTGAACATTCAGAAAGAGTGAATATGAAATTCTAATCACGAAAGGTGTTCCCCGAGGGGATACATACCTAGAGTTTGTTTTGTGAAGCACGTCAATTCTCTCCTGGGGAGCGTCTTCGTGAGCCTCTTATGGTTTCAGGATAGTTCAAATCCTATGATGTTCCGATTCAATGCTCACCGATGATCTGAACCATGGGGCAAGTTTGTTTTCCTAAGAATTTTTTTGAACATTTCGAGAGCAAATGTTTGAACATTTAGAGTGCAAATGAACATATATTTACGAAAGGTCGCCTTCTCTTCCCGCTGTCCTACCTTTCGTGTCTCCCTCCTCTCAAGTTGACCTATGAAGGAGGATCAGTATATGATCACCCCTGGCCAGGGCTCACGGAGGAATCAAAGGTCTCCTATGTGTATTTGCCGCCCGATTTGAATGAAGCCTGGAGAGTTCTATGCGGCTTCTCAGTGGATGATGAAGAAAGTGTTTTAGACGGAATAAAACAGCTGCAGCTTGGCTTCAGATTTCCTTAGTGGTTTTGGTGTTGTTCCGTTTTCTGCACTGAGACTTGGACTAGCTATGACTAGCTAGTGTTGCATATCATTGCAGTAGCCAGGCGCATATCTTAGGCGTGGCATTGGCGATTTGAAATGTCTGAGACGGTTTCCGGAGAGCCTTGAACTTTTGGAATTCGATTACAACTTCAACGAGCCTTTAGAAGGAGTGGATTGGAATAGTAGTCTTCAGTGTTTGACCTTCGGCTCTGCGTTCAATCAGAGCTTGGTGGGAGTAAGTTGGCCCGACAGCATCATGAGCCTCACATTTGTATCCAGGTCCAGCTTCAATCGGAGTTTAGAAGGAGTCCTTTGGCCCAGAAGCCTCCAGGAATTGGCGTTTGGTTTATACTTCAACCAGAGCTTGATCGGAGTAAGTTGGCCAAGCAACCTGCAAAGTTTGACGTTCGGGGGCACCTTCAACCAGAGTTTGGCAGGTGTCGTTCTGCCCAGCAGCCTGCAGCATTTGACCTTTGGAAAACGTTTTAACCAGAGTTTGGCAGGCATCGCTTGGCCCAGGAATCTCAAACTATTGAAGTTTGGCCGAGACTTCAATCAATCACTCAACGTAGTTGCTTGGCCAAGTGACCTGGAGATCTTAGAGCTGGGTGATCGTTACAACCGAAGTTTGGACCGAGTGGCTTGGCCAGAACACTTGCAAAGTTTGGTCCTTGGGCGTGATTGGAACCGACCCTTTCACCATGTGATCTTACCCAGCCTTCGAAGTCTAACCTTTGGCGCTTATTTTGACCAGAGTTTGGACGATGTGACATGGCCCAAGACCTTGGAATCCTTGAGCTTCGGCAAGGAGTTCAACAAGACATTGAAAAAAGTTACCTTTCCTCCCCACCTGCAGAGTGTGACCTTTGGTTTTTGCTTCAACACCAAGTTGGAGCGGATCCGCTTGCCTCCGAGTGTTGAGAGGATTGTGCTTGGAAGCCGATTCAATCAGCCGCTCGAACGAGTGATTTGGCCTAACGCACTCCAAATTTTGACCTTTGGAGATGATTTTAATCAGCCGTTGATGGATGTGCTTTGGCCCAACGGCTTGCAGAGTCTGACCTTTGGCTATAGCTTTAACCAGAGCTTGGACGGAGTAACTCTGCCAAAGAGCCTCCAGACTCTAACATTTGGCCATGCGTTCGACCAAAGTTTGTCAGCGGCAACTTTGCCAGACAGCCTTCAGAGTTTAAGATTTGGCACCGAGTTCAACCAGAGTTTAGAATGCGTGACTTGGCCAAGTGGCCTCCAAGATCTGACGTTTGGCAGCAGCTTCAACAAAAGCTTGGATCAAACACGTTTGCCAAGCAACCTTCAGACACTGACCTTCGGTCATGGTTTCAATCAGAGTTTGGTCGGAGTAACTCATTGGCCCAGTAGCCTCAAACATTTGACCTTTGGTACCCGCTACAATTCCAGCTTGCTTGGCGTGACATGGGGCACTTCGAACCTCCAGACTCTTTCATTCGGACGTGGCTTCGACCAAAGTTTGCGGAATGTCCCATGGCCTCCCAATCTGCGCAGTCTGACCTTGGCCTCTGCGCAGTATGACCAGAACTTCGACTTGGAGGATGTGATATGGCCAGAGAGCCTCGAACATGTCACCTACAACGGCCATTTGATGGGTTTGAAAGCTGTGAGATTTCCTCGCAGCTTGAGGAGTCTCAGTTGTTCTGGTTTGATCTTGAGGCTATCTGCCGAAGAGATCCCCAAAAGCTGAGAAACTGCTGCAAAAAGGTGACAGAATATGAGATGTCACGGGTTGAGGGTTTGCTTTCTTGTGCCTTTTTTCAGGGTCCAGGGAATAAGAACATAGATGTGTTGATGGAGGCCCACGGTTGATGCACCAAGACGCACCAGATCGCCACAGTGAAGAGCAGACAATTCAGGACTAGTTTCAGGGCTTTATTTGTAAAAGCAGCCAAAACCACCTGAGAGGGACCTGGCTGGAAAATCCTGACTTCACCTGCGGACTGTCCCACGTGTGGGTCTTGATCACAGGACTAGAATACAAATAAGTACAAAAAATATATTATATACTATATATTATATATGTGAGATTCGTAGATCTTCTGACCGCCACATCCGTGTCAGGTCGCTTGCTACCTGCCAGACCCACACATTGAAATTCTCGGGGTCAGCTTCGCCACTGTTCCGTTGCAAGGTCCTACGAGGCTCAGTTTCCTTGCTGGTGGGTTGAAACCATCGGCCACTTGTTCCAAGAGGACGAACTGGGAGATAGTGCAGGAGTATGCAAGTTGAGTTGGATGGATGGTCATGCAATATATTCACACATTTCCACACCGAAGAAATCCTTTGTGCAGTAGCCCCCTTGCAACCCTCTATTGGTGGATCCAAGAGTTTTGGTTTTGGGGGGTCCCTTCCGGCAGCATCGACTCCCGGCCCTTCAAGCTGACAGGACCAGCTCGCTTCAGGCTTGACCGGCCCGAGCCCAAGGCCTTTGAGATTGCGCACCCTTCACAAATTGCAATGCCTACGAGGTTTGCCTTCAGCCAACTGGATGGTGCAAACCCCTGCATGTTGAAAGGAATTCAAGACTGCGCTGCAACAGGTCATTCTTTTTAGGATAGGACCGTTCTGAAGCCTTCAATTTGTTCAGTGAAGGAGTTTCAGATTCAGATGAATTGGGCCAAGACTCTCGCTTGTGGCCTTCCTGTCCTGCTCTCTGCAGAGTAGGATGACATGTCAAAGTGCCAGAGGCCAAAGAATGCCTTTTCGTTCTCCGGAAAGTGATGTAGTGGCTGTCCACTCCCTCTCTTTGAGGGATGCGTGATCTTGGTGCGCCTGTCGATTGATGGAAAGATGACACAAGACTCTTGTCTCTCAAAACTACTGGTGGGTTGAAAACAAATGAAACGGATAGATACTGTATAATACTCTATCTATGTATATATGTTCAATCCTTGTTTCCGGGTGTTGGCTGAATGTCTGAATGTCTCAGACAGGATCGCCTACTTGGCGAGCAACCGATTCGCACAGCGCGTTGGGCACAGCGAGTTTGCTTTTCTTTTTTTCCGGTTCGCACCTTTGGCTCAGTGGTCCACCTCTGAGGGCCCTGATGGGTGAAGGCCTTAGACTGGGAACTTGGAGAAGTTGAAGTGCTTTATCAAAGGAAGGAAGGAAGAATCCCCTATCTGGGGAAGGGGAAGGTGAACCCCCTGCGGCTTGATGGTCGAAGGCTTTTTTCCGCTTCTTTTGGTTTCTTCCCCGCAGAATCGACCCACCCTTTTTGGGCAGGGCAACATTGTTCTTCAACGATTCCGTAGATGCGCACACAAACCGCAACGACATTCGCTGTTGCATCCACCGGGTACGTGAACCAGTGGGGAGGAGATGCAGCCCCCAGAACTGGCGAAGCAATGCCAAAGATAATTTTGTGGCAAAGCCTTCTATAGTAACAAGAAGCTACTAGGAACAAGTGCCTTACTAGTAGTAACAAGAAGCAATTTGAATTAGATTTAATATTATTAGCTTCTTTGTTACTACTAGTAAGGCACCTGTTACTACTAGTGTGGCACTGGTTACTAGTAGTAACAAGAAGCAATTTGAAACAAGCCTTCTATAAATCACCATGTGGGAATTGGGCCGTTCGAGTCTTGAGGGGTGTCGATTCCGGATGTTCACGGCTCAACGGTCCAAGTCCTGCGCTGCGGCGGAAAAGCTCCAAAAAGGGACCCTCTTGGGGGTCCCAAAAAGCATGTGTTGCTCAGTTCACAAAGGTCGCAGAGACCTACCCAGGAAGTACGTGGGATAACGGATAACCTTTAATTTCCTTTAAGCTTGTTTGGGGGCTCGGGGACGCCCCACTAAACAGGAACAGGTTGAGGGAGTCAGGAGAGAGTTCCCTGACACACCGAGGGTAGAGAGTAACATCACTCCTTCACTAAAGTCAGCCGGGTTGGCTGTTCTTTTGCGCTGGAGGGAGAGAAAGAAGTAACATGGAGCGGCATCGAGGAAGCGGAGCAGCTTTTCAGCCACACCATGCCACACTCACTTGTTCATCCCAGTTCCATTGTACCCTACTTGGTGAGTTAGATCTTTTCCATGTTTGTTCCAAGCGCTGAAGCAGGTATTGCGGTTGGTTTTCTGGCTTGAGAAAGGGACCGGGTGGTCAATAGTCCATTGTTCAAGAATGCAAGGCTCTCATACAGGCAGACTGCGTTTGATAGAACTAACTATAAGCAAATATAATATAGTTTAGATCTCAGGCACTGTGCTGACTGGCAAACTTCCTGCGGAATCAGATGGTTGAGGAAAATCATAGGTGTGAAAAAAGACGGTGACTCTGGACATGCTTACTTAATTAAGTAGTAGGGAGGAACTTAAGTTTCCCTAAAGATCTAGGAACCAAATGAATAGTGCGAGCACTTCTTCAAGGAAGCGTGAGCTATCCTGCGTCCAGTTCCTAGTAGTAGTGTCCTATTAAGGTACTAGCTTACTTAATTAAGTAGGCGCCTATTTAATTAAGCAGGGAGGGAGGAGCGGGCCCCCCCCCAAAAAAAGAACAGCAACTCTCTCATGAGGTTCATGAATTCAAGTTCCAAACACCTCTGCTGGGCAAGGGGCTTGCCCTACGCCATCCTACACCAAAACCCTGGAGACCCAAGACGCCCATCGGGTGGAATGCCTTGCATGGGACCTTGAAAATCCTTCAAAGTAGGCATGTGGGGGCATGTGTCCAACTTTGTCTAAGAAAGCCAGCTGAATCCTCCAAGTGGACAAGCCCCACTGCCGAAAGTTCTTTGATTGAACATTCATTCATTCTGGAAGAAGAATAAGAAGCTTTTACCCTCTCAATAAACATAGAAGTGGACAACCCCTCTTGGCAGAGTCCCTCTTTGCGGCCTTTCCTTATGTGAAACACGTCCCATCCACAGACCGTGAAACACGTCCCTTCCACGGTTGCCACCGAGGCACCACCACGTCCTGCGATGCTGCGACCTCGAGGCTGCGACGGCTGAGCGAGTGATCGAGGACATGCCAGACTGTCTTTGCCATGTGACCGGGTGGTGCAAGATGTCAATTTCAGAGTGTCTGAAAAATCGAAAATAGCTACAAGATGCTAGAGTTACAAGATGTTACAAGTACATTAATTACATAGAGAATCATCCATGTACATCATGTACCTTCTTTTCTGCTTGCTATCTTTGTTTCTTCAGGTCGAACGTGTTTTGATCCGTCGTTCCTCACGGCGGAAATTATCCAGGCCGACTCTAGGCTGTCAAGCTGACACTGTCCGGCGCCTAAAAGCGGGAAATGGGTTGCCTGATAATATGACAAGCTTGACCTCACTCCAAGACATTCTCAGGAGATATGTTTAATACAATTGTATTAATATATAGATGATAGATATTAATATAGATGCAGAGTTGTTGTTGAGTCAAGGAAAAACTATAAGGACAATGCCCCGAAAAAGGTTTGGAAACATCTCCAATGAATTCCTAACATGTTTCGACACATGTCCAAAATATTTGTGCAAGCGCAGGATCCTCAATCCACAAGATGGATGGAAGGTTTCTGGAAAGAACTATTTGGGGAATCTTCAATCTTTAATCCATGCACTTAGAGCTGCTGTTCCCGTTTCGAAACATTGACCTTGGGTTGCAAATGGCAAAAAGTGCTTGGCGGCGTGGTCCCGAAGCATTCCGAAACATTTTTGGTCTTGTATCCCGCAGCGTCATTTGCATTCTGCCTCTTCCAATTCTGCTGCCATCATTTACTTGCTTCATCATATCTCCTGTTGCACGGATACCGGAGGAGGCGCAGCGGCATTTATCCCATGGGCCCCTGGCAAACCAATGAAGCAGACTTGGGAAGACGAGTCTACCACATCCAGTGTGACATGGGCCTAGCTCGTGGAACCAATGGGGGGTGTATCAGTGCTTGGCTCCAAACACCTGGCCGAATTCGGGGCCAAGGCGTGTTTGAATGGAAGCCGTTGGGACAACAGTGGGTTCCAGGACAAGAAAGTTATTTGATGTTATTTGTTTAAACATTATTCAACACAATCGTTCTTGCTGGTGCCGCGCACGACAATGCCATTCACTGTAAAGGTCGTGTCAAGATGCAAGGCAAACGGCACAGGTAAGTTCGAAAGAGCTGCCTCCAAAACGCCTGTCAAGGTCAAAAGGTCAAAGCTGGCACACAGGTGACTGGCAGGGCTTGTCGCTTTCTGAACAGAGTGACAGTTCCTCCTCCTCCCATTGTCAGGCTTCGCTGTGCCCAGACAAGTATTGGTGTAGACCAGGCCTGTGGTTGTGCACTGGAGAATTGTGCACATGGAAGATGGAAAACTTCCTCAGAGTGGCCTAAGTGAACGAAAGTATTAGTTGGGCCACACCTCTGCAAAAACATGCAACATGCATCTTTTGTATTTGTTCAACCGGTGCTGCTGCATGCATCATGTGCGCTGTCTTGCGTAGTCCTTGGTCATGTCAATGTGAACCATGTGGCCTCGCGCTTCTACATGTTCTTCAAGTCCATTGTTAGTTGTTCGCAATCCGAAAAATATATAACCACCTGTATATATTATGTGTAAATACATGTTGTGTATATCAGACTCATATAGTGTTTAAATGTAGCGTTTTCCGGGAAAGACGCTGTGCGTATTGTTTTTTTCGGCTCTTGCTGGGCCGCTGGATTTTGATTTATGTTGAATATGCCCCTAAGATCTCCTAAGCGTCGACTGACCGAAGTGTTGTGCGAACCGAGGTCCAAGCCTGCAGCCAACAATGCGGCTTGCTGTTGTGGGGTTCTGGGGTGAAAGGTGCTAAAAAGGTTTTGGTTTTGCGAAGAAACCCCAGATGAAACAAAACAAAACAAATTGTATCGTTTCCTGTTGTGAGCAGTTTGTTTCAAGACTTTTTGGGTGTTAGCCAGAATCCGAGTTGGTTCTAGCATATTTGGCAAGAGAACAAAAAGATCAGTCAAAGTCGTTCGGCCACCCGACAGGTACTTTAAATATCTTTAAATTAAACCCAGGCAATGTGCTACTTACTTAGTCAGCGTTTTTCGACACACAATCAATATTGGTCAATGTCTTTTGCCAAAGGGGGTCCGATCCAAATAAAGACAAAACCGCAGGGACACCAGAGACACGTGGCGTAAGTGATTCGCCTACACCCTCCATTAAAAGAGGGGACTGCCCCACAGACATGTGGGGGTGAGGGTTGATGGCAGTTTTTGACTGTGATGAATCTTGTAATGTTTTCCGCAGGGTCTAGCACTCGGCCTGTTTGTTTGTTGACTCAGCAGAAAGGACTTCTCTTCTTGTGAACTCGCGCTGTTGACAAGCACGGACAGTTTTCTTCCTATTGTTGGTCAAGTTTTGCGGACCACCGCAAGTCAAGAATCATCATTGATGGCTTACATTTGTATACTATGTAAATAGTGTGACGCAAGGTCCTTAACATTCCTTAACAGTTGTCCCATCCCATCCTATCCTCGCATATTAGAATCCTGAGTCCTGATTGGAGAAACTAAATCGATGGGCCAGGATCGTTTGAAGCTCCAAAGAGCCACAAAGGTTGGACCGAATTATAGATGGACAGGACAAGATCTAGTGAATCTAGTGGTATATGAATTACTATTAATTAATGTGTATATATGATATATATGCATCTGCCCCCAGATCCCGAACTCTTGCTTCCAAATGTTTGCCTCTAGACGTGGAGAGTCGCGAGGTTCCAAAGACAGCACACGAGATGTGAAATCCTTTCACGAGAACACCTGGCATGGTTGAGACAGCCTGGTGCCATGTGTGTGTGTGTTGATTGTTGTGTTGTTCCTTCGCGTGAGCTTCGACAACAGCTGATATCTACCATGTGCCACTTAGACACCGCCCCACGGCCACACCGATGCGATCGCATGGTCAGGGTGCGAGGAAGTTCGTGGCATCCCAAGTGGCGTCAGTGAAGTAGTGTGACAGATGGAAAAAGCAAACTGAAAACACTTGGCGCTGGTTGGAGGCCAATTGCTTGAAAACGATAGAAGTAAGGACCAGCGTGGATTATTGTGGATTTGATGCACACCTTGGAGGTAGATGTTCTTGAATCATAGGTCGGCAACGATTTCAAGGGTTTTTTTGAACCGCCAATGCGTTCAACTGTTCTTTCTTTCTGGACCAGGTTATGCCTGTAGTGTGTTTTGGTAGTTTCACCGTGTTTTACTAGACGATGCACTAAATTGAAAATCAGTGATGAGCATCGTTTTGTAGATTGAATCTTGAAGTCAACACTGACGAAGGCTTCTAGAAAGGGAGGTAAAAACAATCAGAACGTTTAATGTCAAGCTAGGACATATTTCCAGGTTCTATGTCACTTGAATCCTCGTTAGTGCCTTTTTGGGTCTTGGGCCTTGGGGAGGTTATATAATAACATTTCTTTCGAGGGTGTGCTCAAGGCGGAGCAGAGTTGAATAGCAAACAATCCATACACACATGTGCACACACACACACCATGTGCCTATGTTAGTGGTTTCAGGGATCACTCACTCTCATGAAATTCGGGAAATGTTTGCAGCCTGACAAGGGCGGGGTGAATATCAGACTGATTTGAGCTTGGTGTAGCTGTTGCTGCTGCTCCTGCTGACTAAGCTAAGCAGTTCGACAGACTGGAGGGTATTGGCCAGGTCCTACTCATATCTGGTCTTATTATGTTCTGATTCTGTTGGTATTAGTAACATACAGATTGAAGTTTGATCCTATTTGATCCTGTTCAAGGCGCCTTCTATTTTCTCAAAGTGTACTCAGGAAAATAAGCAGATCATACCCTGCAAAGAGCTAGATGTCGACCAAGATTCTGAAACCCCAATAGCCACAACAGAAACCTACAACGGACAGGTGCCATGCCTCCCCTTCTGTGCGGCCTGAGGTGGGAACCCTCACAAAGCAAGAAGCAGCTTCAAGAGGCCCAAAGCTCAGTGACGGCAGCAGTCCGCACTCTCCGACAGTGACGGCCAGTCTGATGAAATGTATACATGTGTGCACCCGATCGGAGTCCCGGAGGACGAGCCAGTTTGATGGATGAAATGGGTAAGAAGAAATGATACCTGGCCAGGCGGCATCCAAAAACACACATGTCTGGCAGGAAAGTGTGTGGTTCTGGTTCATAGAACAGTGGGGTCACCTGGTTGCAAAACCCTTTGGACACTTTTGGACCAAGCGTCGAAAACGGGACCCCTCTGGCCGTCCGAGGCGCAGCGCGTGGTGGTCGCTGCCCCAGGGATGCGCGGCACCGGCGCAACTAGACCCGGCGCATTTTCGAAAGCAGACCAGCTGAGCAGACTCAGGGTGAGGTGTGGTTGATTTGAAGCAATGTTTGGGCATTGGGGAGGTCAACAAGGTCACCAAGATCAAGCTGATGGAGGGTCAACCGGGTCAAGCTTCGGAAGATGAGATATTTTGGTGCCATTGGGTCACAGTTGAAGCGCAGAGGTCACATAACTAGAACACTGGAACTCACTAGCTTCGTCAGAGTGGAATGGAACTCACTTCGTCAGAGTGGTTTGCCATTCCCTGGAATCATCATGGCAGTGGTTTGCCACTTCCATAATTAGTCCATGGAGTTTGACCATCCCGCCCTGAGGACCAGACCTTGCAACTGCTGGGCCTCGGATTGATGGTTGAGTGGCAGGTGGGGGAGTCAGCGGCCGTGGTTTTCTGGGGTCAGAGGAGGAGGGTGGACAGTATCCAAAGATATCAAAAGGGTTTATCACCTGGGAATTGCATGTGTGAATGGAAGAACAAGCCTTTCTTTTCCCATCCTTGCTCATCCCTCACATCGCTTTTGGGACAAGAATACACAATTGTTCACTGTGGTAGTTCATCATGACGTCCAGGTTGTGTCTTGCCCAGTACATATGCAAATCCTATCATTACAGTTGATACTGTTCCTGATCTTCCCTATTGGTGTTGCAGACTTGCAGACACTTACAAACATGAAGCTCAAAATCCTGGCACAGACTTCCAATACCATTGAATACCTACTCAATGAGTGTCAATCATGGAATTATCACGTTGCATTGTTCCAGAAATATGCGAACTCCCAATGATATGTTGACACATGTTTTGAACATCGTTGTTTTAGAGCGACACCCAAACGATACGTGGAGCGACACCTCACAAATCCAGTCCAAGCCACCTCACATGTGTAGAGCCACAATTCACTAACACTACTGAGCGTTTCCTTATGCCACGTAGCAAAGAGCTTATCAAAGGCCTTTGCAATTTATCGAAAACATTGCTTTCATGTGGGACCTTCTAAAAGGATTCACAAAGGAATCCTCCGGGTTGAGAGAGATTGTAGGGTTATTTGATGTTATTTGCTTTTTATTGAGACTGTGTGGAACGATAGGGAACCTCGGTTAGAGCGATACCATGGCAGCCGAATGACCAACACATGTGGCCTCACCACCGCACACATGGGCTGAGCTCATCTCACCAACTAACATCCATCCCAGGGGACGGTGCAAGCCCAGTAGAGAACTAAGGACTCTGTATGAATCTGTCGGGTGATGAAAGTGCTGTGGAAAACCTGGGCCCCAGATGAGACCCTAGACTCGCCTGGACCCTAAGCGGGGTTTCACTCAGGTGTCAGACCACGTGCTTCGTTGGCCACATAGCTAGGCTACCAGGCTACATCCATTTAATTACCTATATATCCTTCCCGAAGAATTCTTTCAAAATCCGTTGCTTCAGGGATGTAGATTCTACACCGAGTGGCATTATTGTTTCCACTAGGTATATAACAACGACCAACATTTGTTTTTTAGGGATCCGACATGGCATAGAGAAGCGACGTCTTGGAACACCGACGTCTTCGGAATATATGTGTGACATTTCTTGGAACAAACAGCAGTTTCAGGAGCTATAGCAGTTTCAAACAATTGTGTTTCCCAAAGACATGATCCCTTGTAAATAGATCTGTCTTGGCCATGGAGATTTCTCTCACAACCTCTTGAATTGGGTATTCAAGATCCACGGTGTGGCACTGTTTGGGCACTTCATCCACGTCAGGATGAGCAGAAGCGGCTGATCATCTCCGAGGCAAAGCGGTTGGTTGCCGTTGAATAGAGTGTCCTGGCCCTGGTTTTGGACCTGGCATCGGTTTAAAATGTGTCAAGATTGAAATGGGTGTGTATGAAAATAGGGAGACCTCCGTCCGGCGTTGCGACCCCTTGGGTTCGGAGAATCGACCAAATCTACCTAGTCTACCGGGGCCGAAGATTTCGGGCCGTCGTCCCAAATGAAACCAACCTCCCACTGCCAGCTTCGGGTCCTGTAGAGCCCTTCCATCGGCAAAAGGACTTGAGCAGCTCAGCAGCTGCCACATCAGCGTTCGCAGCGTTCGGGAGCAACGAGTTGAAGTTGAAGGGTGGATCCTAGGAGTTGATATGCTGGGAGGTCACCAGTATTAACCCAGCTTCTATGATTCAAAGCCTACCCCGAAAACGTGGGAACAACATTAAGGCCTTAGTTTTCCCACTCAAATCCGGAAAGTTCGATGAACCTTGGCTAACCTTGGACCAGGAATCGAAACAATCGCTCGGAAGACCGAAAGGCCGAACTTGCATAACCGTTCTCCCAGCAGTCTTGAGGTTGGCATTCCTGGAAGAAACTGAGACTCTTTTTCTGACTGCACCCTAGCCTTCCGTTCGACTATATTTTAACAGACCTGCTATTGTTGTGCAGAATCCTTCTAATACAGTAAAACAATGGTTGTTCGGGATTCAGGCTCTATGAAATCAATGGTCCGTCCATGTCAGGATGCCAAGACCTTAGAGCTCCACGGTGAAGCACATCGACCCATGCGAATACCCATGAGTCAGGCGGTGTGGGATGTGGTGGAAGATGTTGGCTGCTCAATGGGAACCAGAACCAGAGAGAACCGGAAGATGTTGGGTGTTCCAAAACATATTTTTGTATCTTCATGTGATAGTGTTTCTGAGGGTCCTGCCACGACCTGTGAATCCGCTCAGACTGTGTGGCTCTCGGCACAGGAGAAATCATCAAGCAGAAGAAAGCTGCACCTCTACACATGTCAATTCACTTACCAGGTTGACGAGGTCAACGCTTTTCCGTGTTGACCATCACACACAGCTCCAGTCGATGAACTTAGTAAATCCCAGAACCGCCGTCACAGACACATTGCGTAACGACACACCGGCCACAGCGGCTCAATGAGCATGTTGGAAGAACATGAGATGAAGGTATGCTCGAGCTACTACCAGAAACACACCCAGTGAACACTACACATGAACAGGAATCGTAATGATATTGTAATAATTGTAAGTTGTTTCTTTTGTTTGTAGGTTGACATACTAATTATTCTGGCTGACGAAAAGCGTGTTTGTTTTGAATGCCCCTAGGTAGTGAGGTACCCAGCTGTCAAACCCAAAGACCACCAGTCCAACCCAACCCCTCTCACCGCAGACCCTTCGCTCTCTCATGCTCTAGGTCTTTTGCTGTGGGCTCCCGCAGCAGAGTTCGCACGACCGCCATGGTCGTGGCGAAGCCCGTGGTGCACGGCGCGAAGCGGCTGCACGAGTCGCTCGTTGACTCCCTTTCGCTTCGGCCGCGCGAAAGGAGCGGCCTCGAAACGCGACCGTTTTTGCGCGTTTCGCGCTGACCCCAGCGGTGATAAGAAGAGGGGAGATGCTTTTTTGGAGGTCGGTTCCGGTAAAGCTTCGGAAAGGGAACGAAGTCCTATTCCGCAACTCTCCATTCTTCTGAAACCTTTCTTCCGCAACTACTCTTCAGAAACAATTTGTCAGAAACTATTTTGGGAGCTTCAGGAACTATGTTGCGATCTTCAGAAACTCTTTCGCGATCTTCAGAAACTATTTCGCGATCTTCAGAAACTATTTCGCGATTTTCAGAAACTCTTTTACGATTTCAGAAACTATTCCGCATCTTCGGAGACTATTCCGCGATCTTCAGAAAGCTAACAATTTAGAAAGTATTCCTCAGAACTTTTACAATGTTGCAAACAATTTGCATGAAGGAGCGCTGGGTGGGTGGGGGGGTAGGTGGGTGAGATATTGACGTACCTTGTGACGGCTACGGTATATACATGCTTGTTTTGCGATCTGCAGAAAGATTTCCGTGCAGGTTTGATGTTGCTCTTCGACTCTTTGTAGTTTCCGAACATTAGTTTCTGAAGAACATCGTAGAGTTTCGGAAGATTAGTTCCGAAGAATAGTTTCCGAAGAAAACCTTAAAGTTTCCGAAGATCACTTTTGAGTTGCCGAAGATTAGCTTCCATTTAACAGTTTCCGAAGAACACCGTAGAAAACCTTTGAAAACCGTAAAGTTTCCGAAGATCACCTTTTAGTTTCCGAATAAAACTTTGACCTCGGAAAGGACACAGTTGGTGAAAGTGGTGTGAACTGCTTCTCTGGGCCGAGGGGAATTGAGTTATATAAATCTGAAGAATTCCTTCTCTACTTAAAAGCCTTTATTTCATTTTCTAGCGCGTGGTTGACCCTCCAAGCTCGCAAAAGGCAAATACAAGACTCGACCTATCCAGTCAGTGGATCAACTTGACTTAAACCTGTTGGGGGATTGTTGTTTTTTGGAGGGTTGTTCTTCTCACTTCTTTTTCACTGTTTCGACCAGAGTGTCAGCAGTGAAGCTGTGTAACATCACGGCTAGATCGATGCGAACAGGTGGAACAAGGTTGACCTTTATTTTCGAGGGAAACTGAGGAATTCAGTCGATTCACCCTTTTCCTTGACCTCGGTGACGACTTTGTGAGGTTGGATTGGCTTCGAGCGTTGATGGTCATCATGGTCGTGTATGCTCACATTTCCACCTCTGGGATTCGAGGCGACCTCTTTTGCACCACACATGTTGGATCATGGTCGGTGATCAGAATGGAGCGATTCGAGCTGGGCGTATCACCCAACCTCTTGCTCGGTGGTCGGTGTTTTTGTTGGGATGGTGCACCATGGAGCAGGGAGAGGAAGGTCAGACTCAAGCACGCATGGAATTGGGCAGTACTGTATATTGGTGCAGATTGCGGCGTTTATTGAAGGAACAGACGAGTTAATCTGAGCAAAAATTGTTTCGACAAGTCGTTCAAATTGAAAGTGGTATTGGTGGCTAATGTCCTGCATGAATCAGCTTGTGGGTGTTAGGACCCCCCAGTTAATGATGGATCCTGATTAGTAAAAGAGATTCCCCCCTCTCCCTCTAACAAATGAGAGGTCCTCTAAAATAAACTACCACAAAACGAATCTGGATTCCTGGGAGGATTCCTTTTGTAACGACTTGTGGTACGGTATTAATTTGCCTTTCTCAGATTCTTTGTAATTACATTTTCTCAGCAGTCCATTCATACTACCAAGAAGAGGACAAAGAAGGTTCTCTTGTTCTTTGCGGCTTTGAAGAAGGACTAGACAGATCCTATACTTATCATTGGCTTAGTAGTATTAATAATAACTATTTTGAGTTTTACTGTATTCAGAAAAGTTGCAGAATTGAGGACCCGTAAAACAAGTTTCTTATTGAGGATCAGGGGCCTTCTTGGTCTACTACCTCGTTTTTGTTAGGAGCAATCTTTAGATAAAGGATTGATTGAGGAATTGATGGCTTTGGGAAGCTGTCAGTTTTGAAGAAGAACTAGAGAAACCTATACTTACCAATACTCTCAGCAGGCCCCTCATCGACTTGGTATTCACAGGTCTCCGAAGGATTTGAAACCCTAGTTATTTTCCAGATAGTAAAAAAAATAGGATTCCAGAATTACTTTTGGACAATTTTAAATTATAGCGGCTATATAGCGGATCCTTGTACTAATCAGGACCCAACATTAATATGAACCACACAGCCAAGTCATTGTTTAATGACATTGATTAACCAGGAAAGGTTTATGAATCATGCTGCTCCTCATTTGCGTTTGCTGCAACTAATCTATGTTTTAAATGAACCATCAGTCCTTTGCTGATTGATGGCTTAGCCTTTCTGATACCTCTTATCAACAGGCCTGCCAGTTTTATTGTGATTGTTGATTGTTGTTTTATGTTCCAGAAAATGCGTACAGTTTAAGTTTAGAGTTTAGGGTTTATAGATACCCTTTTAGCGAAGTTCACAAAGGGTACCGACAAGGGCTGGTCCGCCCTAAATAATCTGCACTCCCTACTACCCCTTATTACATATATATATACTTTGGTTCTATGTCCGTGGTGTAGTCTATTTTTGTGTGAGTTGTTTCTTGCCTTTAGAAACCTCACTGTTACTACTACTACTGCTGCTGCTGCTACTACTACTATTACTACTACGACAACAACAACTACTACAACAACAACTACTACTACTACAACAACTACTACTACTCCTACTCCTACTCCTACCTTTAACAATAGTAATAACAATAACAATATAATATACTCTACTCTTGTTTTAGGATGGATTCTCCGACTTCCCTTCTCAGACCTTGGTTCCTATCAACCTTCCTGGCAGATTACTCAGGGGAGTGGACCCTGTGAACGGTACCTCAGACCTTGTTGACCTTGCAAGTGGAAATTGATCCGGTCTTCGCATTATAACTTGTTAATTTGCATTATATATACTCACATGTTGTTGAAAAGGTACAAGTGACACTAGTGGCTGCTGTGGTGCTGCCAGGTTCTGACCCCTATTCTGGCTTTCCAGCGAAGGTGAGCTACCCAGCTTCGCGGTCACCACTTTTGATTGATGGATTAGGGTTTACATTATTCTACACATCACATTCAAGACCCTAAGCTCCTGTGTTGCTCGCACAACCAAATGACGCAATATGACTTCAGGTGGTGTGCATGGCAAACTTGCCGATGATGATCGCATCTACAACATGAGGGATCCCAGCACCTTGGGTGTTCGCTGGATTTCTATGGTGAGACAATACTGCCTGCCTCTATTGCTTTTTGTCTCTGGGGCAGCCTCAGCTTGCTCCTTCCGAACGAGTCCTGGGAACTTCGGAAAGATCCTGCTCTACACCTTAATGGGTGTTTCTCAGCTGCAGACCTTCTCAGACTTCAGCCTAATGCCGGAATTTGGGTGCTCGTACGAGCAGTCGTCATCCTGAAGGTCAACAGGGGTTTGGGGATGTTCTGATGGACCCAACTCGATGTTTGGGATATTTGGGGATGCCTTCACCCTAATACTCTCCCTCGAATCATCATGGTTACGTGGTTGGCATGGCCCCTAGCAAGACAATTTTCCGAACACCAAACAGGGGGTTGTCCACGTCCATGTGATGCATTCGTGGGAGTGTAATGCGTACGCTCAATGCTAAGACAAATCTGTTCATGGGGAGGGATCCCCTACAAAGCTAGACAGATATGGTCAAGCAGGAGTGGCTGACAAACGGGGGACTGTTCAACCCTCCTGCAGCATTAACAACAGTTTGTTTTCTTTGGACATTTGGTCTGAGATGACACGAGGGAATGAAGAAATCATAACAGAAGGGGTTCAGATAAGGCTAACAAGTCAGGAGGCACATGGACCAAATTAATTGTGGGGCGTTATCGATAGGGGTGAAAGTGGGGCTCTTACTTGCCACTGTATGTTAAGGGCCTTTCATACTGCCGGAGGCCAGCCTGACCAAATGAATGCATGGGTTGTTACACTCCCTGGAAATATCATGGAAGTGGAAAGGGGCCAGCTAGATGACCCTGAAATCCTCTACCAACAAACCTTTTTCCACTTCGGTGATTTCAAGGAGTGTGCTCTTCCTTTTCAATGACCGACAGAATCCTACAGAGAGAAGTCCAAGGCTCAGGACCCATTCCTGGGCCTTTAACTGTTAAAGCTTCACATCCGTTAACCTTTCTCCGGGGATGTGTTT